CCCATGCTTTCCCCTCCTTAGGGAAAAGCACCCCTTTAAAAAATTTTATTTAGTTGCCAATTGCTCATCCTGTAAGGGTTTGTTCACATAACACTTCTTCTGTGGAAGCCTTATTGACTTCCCTACCTGCTGTGATAACGCATGTTTTCCAAAGACCGTCACAACGGTACCTCCCGACTTGCATCTTCTTCTTACAACATAGCTTTGACCTTCCTCCTCTCCAAATGTGGGGTCTATGTTCCTTTACCTTGAATCTGGGCAATGGTGAAAGTGTTGCTCTGTGACTTTTGAGGGTAGCTCATGAAAGGAGGCACAGCTTCTGCCTGATTCTTTGGGGACACCAGCCCTTGGAACTCCACCAGCATCCTGTGAGGAAGCCCAGGCTCCATAGAAAGGCCATGTGTAGATGTTTTGGCCCATAGCCCTAGCTGTGGTCCCGTATCACAGGCAGCATCAACCTCCAGACATAGGAATGAATGAGCTTTGATATAATTTTTCCAAGAAGACCTAGTTTGCTGCTGTTGTTTTAATTGGAGAACGGTATTAGGAACCCAGATGTGCATGGTAGGTGTGTTCATTGTTACTGGGGCGGATCATGTTTAAAGAAATACTTACTCTGGCCAGGCTCAGTGGCACACGCCTGTAATCCCAGCACTTGGGGAGGCCAACGTGGGTGGATCACAACGTCAGGAGTTCAAGACCAGCCTGGCCAACATGGCGAAACCCCATCTTTACTAAAAATACAAAAATTAGCCAGGTGTGGTGGTGCGCATCTGTGATCCCAGCTGCTCAGGAGGCTGAGGCAGGAGAATCACTTGAACTCAGGAGGTGGAGGTTGCAGTGAGCTGAGATCATGCCATTGCACTCCAGCTTGCGTGACATAGTAAGAGTCTGTCCCAAGAACAAAGAAAAAAAGAAAAGAAATATTCAGTCTGTGTGAGATGAAGTGAGGCATGCATTGGTACTTCATGTGCTCCCACTCTATATCCAAATTTAACTATAATTGTTAGATGTTCTGGCTTGTAGTTGTGGCCATTTTCTTGTTTCACTAACAATGGATCTTTCTCTTTTAAAATTATTTTTATTCTTGTCAGTGGATTTTCTTGCAGCGTTCTCTCTTTCCAAGCTTGTCTTACATTCACCTTGGGACTTTGCAAGAAACGTAGCTTTCTAACTATAGCGTCTATCAGCATGTATCAAGAAAGCTCAAACTTCCTGAGAAATATACAGATCTGCATCTCATATGCTTTGTTTTACATCTCATGTAAAACGTCTTCGTTTAACATCTTTGTTTTACATCTCGTGTAAGATCTGCAACTCATATGCTTTGTTTTACTATTAAACCTGCCTGCCTTATCCTTGGGAGTGAGAAACATTTTTATAGTGTGTAGATCTGCTCTTTCCAATTGCTTGACAACTGGGGAAATGAATTGAAGTGTTTCTAGCATATTTAACTTAACTCTAAGCAAAGCCTGATCATTTTGGGCCAGTGACTCCTATCGACTGCGTATCTTCTGATTCCAATGTCAGAGTTAAGTGTCTGTTTAAATCTTTACTGGGGGCTTTTAACTGCCTGTTTATGTAATATCTATGTAATGTTTGTCCAATTTTATGCACTTGAACACTTTTATCTTCATTTTTGGATAAGAAAAAAGGAAAGTCAGTATCCAGCCTTAAGGGTAAATACAATACTAATGAGTGTATTAGTCCTTTTCCTCCTCATTCCCATATAAATTGAAGTACGCAGTCAATTCTGCGTATGGAAAGTCTCCAAGAAAGTTAACTGAGCTCAGTGTTGGGGCCAAACAGCCTTTCTGACTGCTCATCGAGAAATCCCCATCAGTATTTGGAAGGTGACCTGGTTCCTAAAGATAGACACTCAAGGTAAAATTAGTTCTATTTATAGTAAAAGACTTGCCTCAGGAATGGACTCAGCTTTAATGGGTCCTTTCCTTGTGTGAATTGGTATCTCCTGGAAAGCGCTGGAACTACACACATTCTCCTGGGTAAATGTGGGTTTAAAAGGAAAGATATGTATTTTTTAAAATCTGCCCAGGATATTGACCCCAGCACTGTCATTTTAGAATGGATGCTTTAAAAGCTGGCATAATCTATCCCATGCTCCCTTTTCACCCTGCCTTGATGGCTGGGAGTGTCCCAGAGAGGAGTCATGGCTGTTTTTGTGTGCGTTGAGCCTTAGCTCAGCAGAAACTAACAGGTTCTCTGAGTATACCTAAGGAACTCTGAAGAATGCCGTCAGCCTCTTGGACAGCAGCAGCATAGGCTGTACCCGCTGAAAGTGTCCCCAGACCCTCTATATTCTTCCTTCCTAACTCAACCCCCATCTCTTTTTTTTTTCTCCCTTGCATGGAGTACACCCTATTTCCATTTGTTTATTTATTTACATCCCATAAATAGTGTGATAATTCTTCAGCAAATCTCTACGTAGGATAATAAGGCCCTGAAAAAAGGTAAGTAGATATGGCCACTCTTAATACAGACTCCAGAGCCTTTGGGGTACTGGGAAGCACAGCACGTAGAATTTGGACCCTTGGACATCAGCAGAAACAGAACGTCACCTGCCTGCAGTTGCTCCGGTTGCTGCCAGTTAATAAAAAGGTAGCATGAAGTCTTCCTGGGATGTTGTTTCTACACTATGTGCCGTATTAGAGAGCCACGGACTGCTCTGTGTGGCCTCCCCTGAGATTCAGAGATCAGCTCCCACCCAAAGAGTGCGAGCTTGGACCATGCTCTCTCCGAGTGCTACAACCTGGGGATGGAGAGGCCTTCCTAATATCGCTTGAAAATACTCCCCAGGGGATCTTGGATTCGCCCTATAGCATCGTCTGTGGTTCTTTGAATTGCAGAGAGACAGGAGAAGATAGGACACAGCTTGTATTTGTCCTGGATCTATTTCCTGGGAAAGGCATATTATAAACCACTTGCTCATTTTACTCAATCTTCTTTTTTTGTTTTTCATTTTTGGCCTCCAGTGGCCTGTGGGACAACATATCGCATCAGTAACAATGGCTGGCAATAGAAGGGATCCTTCCCAGGACTGGAGCAGGTGGAGAGCAAATTTGTCTCCTCAAGAACATGTATTGAAATCTGAGGCAGAGGTATATATCGTTTTCAAAACTCCCTAGATGATTTCGATGTACACACCTTTTCAACTCTTCATTACTTTGTCATTTTAGGCTCCACACTGGCATTTCTTACATTACTCTAATAAGTAAAATTTGAATAATAAATATTTTACAAAGCTCTTCATTAACCTGCAGTCCAAATTGAAGGGGAGAAGTCATTCTTTTATCCATCCTCTCCCCCTTGCTGATTTGTTTGCAGAATACAGGTGCACCGTATTTTATTTTATAAAGAAATAACAATTTCTTTATTTGAAAAAGTACTACCTAGATAAAAGATGTATAATGACGTTGCCAGAGTGTGATATGGCCACAGCTGTATACAATATACATTGGTAAGCTCTTAAATCGTGGGATCTGGAATAACATAGTGCCGTTCACAGAAAATTGAAGTAGTAATTGTGCTCACCGATTGTATGAAAAGTGAAAATGGTGCTGTTATACAGAAAGATGAATTATATTGCTCTCTGCTTAGAGAGCTGCTATGCTAAATTAAACCTGACACTAGGCCTAAGGGGATTGCATCATTTGAGGAAAAAAAACACACACACACACAACAGGTAAACCCTGACAATTCTCATCCTCTTTCTGTTTTTCCTTTATTGCCATTTGTTCTGGGAACAAGGGTATAATATTTCTCAGAAGTTCATTCCTGGCACGAGGGGCTAGGCCAGGCCATAAGCTCATCTCAGCTTCATTCAATTCCTGGCCATTCATGGATCCCTCTGTCTCACCTGGTCTGGTAACTGGCTTCTGAGGGAATCCCCTGTGAGGTTTGAGCTACCTAGTCCTGAGAGCTTGGGCCAGTAATTTTCCATTTCTAGGCCTCAGTTGTCTTAATTCAATGTCAAGAAATTTTGGTTAAGAAATGAAGAGTTGAAGAAACAAATCAGATTTTTAAAAATAAAAGAGCTCTTCTAGAGTTACCAGTCAATGTTTCTAAGACAATTGTGTCCTTTCTGAGGTCTTTAGCACAAAGCCACTAGAGTAGTACGTTTTCATTTCAAGAGAGAATCCAGTGACATTGCCCCTGACCTCACCCTTCCGGAAAACCACTTGGCAACTCAACACCAAGAGCTTCTGGTTCTTAGCAACCTATTTCACTTCTTGATGCTATTTACTGTTGAAACTCCGCATGTCCAGGGATCTAGGTTAAAGAATTATAAGATGATTACAGCTGGAGATTGGACCAAAGCTAGAGTAAGCAGCCACATGCCTGGTCTTTCCCATGCTCAAGGCTACCTCTCTTCAGGTGACCATGTCTTCACCTGGATTACCGAATTTGAAATCAAATTCCCCTCTAGTCTCTAAAGAATTTAAATTGGGCATCACAGAGCTATGGATGCTCTCTTGCTCCAGTTTAGCAGCAATGGAGGCAGCAGGAGCCTGCAGCACAGAACAAACTCACTCCTCCAGTAGCCGCCTTAGTCTGGCTTGGGACCAGGAACTGAATATGGGCTCTAACAGTTCTATGGTGCTATGAATCTGAAATGTTATTACTGTGTTTTTCATGGCATGTGAAATTACATTCTAGCTCACCAACTGGTCTGAGATTGCCCTCGACAAAGAGATGTTACTTCTCATTCAATTCCCTGTTAGGAGCACAATAGTACTAAAATAAATAAACAGATGAGCTTGGTTTCAGAAGGCCTAGATCTGAATCTTGGATGAGTCACTTAGGGGTTGCATAAACTTCAGTTTCCTGATCTGATCTGCCTTGGCCAGCACACAGGTCAAGCAGTTTGTGCTAGACACACGGTAAGTGATGGTCACAGCACATCAGGGGGTGTGGAAGCAGCAGGCTCTGCCTTTCCCTGTCCCTCATTTCTCTTTGACTTCCTAGGGTGTCATAGTTACTATAGCACACGATGTGGAGAATGCTAGAAGAACAGTTGGGTGAAGCAGGGCCACCAAATATCCTTGCCTCTTGGAGACCTCTGGAAACCCCGGTGAGTGTGGTCTGAGGTTGGGGCCTCCCACCATGCTTGCTCCTCTCAGTCCTACCCAGCGCTGCCTCTCAAGCCTAGCTCAGGGCCCTGAAACTCCCCCTTGGGGCTTCCCTTCTCCCCAGCCCTCCCTCTTGGTGCCCTTCCTGGCTACCATGGTAACAGGTTCCAGGGTAACAAAGGAGGGAGCTGGGTCCTGTTTCCTCCCAGTCCTGCCAATAAGGATTCTCAGATCTTAGACACTGAATTGTCACGCACCTAATCGTGCTGTTTCTGTGTTCTCACCAGGGCTGAGCTCGAACTGCCACCTCTGCCAGCAGGACCATGTGTACCAGCTTGACCACTTGTGAGTGGAAGAAAGTCTTCTATGAGAAGATGGAGGTGGCTAAGCCTGCAGACAGTTGGGAGCTCATCATAGACCCCAACCTCAAGCCCAGTGAGCTGGCCCCTGGCTGGAAGCAGTATGTGGAGCAGCATGCCTCAGGCAGGTGAGAGGCTCAGTGGGGAGGGACCTTGAAGACAGCCCATGGGTCACAGATGTGGGGTACTTTCCAAGGAGAGATAGAGCCCCGTCCCTGGGGCAGGCTCATTCTGGTGTCAGCTCAGATGGGGGAAAAAAAAAGAACAGCCGGCTGGGTCACAGAGTTCTTGGTTTTAATCCTAGCAATACCACTAACTTCCTGGGTGACCCTGAGCAAATTATGGTCTATCTTTTGGTCTTAGTTGTCCACATTAAATGAAGAGCTGTAATATCTTCTACGTCCCTGCAATCTCTGACATTTAAAGAGTGAGTTGGAACTAAAGGAAGGAAGCTATGAGTTCCATTGGGGAAAGCCTTAACCTAGAAGTTGGGGGGATATGGGGGGTGTAGCTATGCTCTGGTCCTAGATATGTTTAGTGAATTAATCCAAATTGATCTGAATACAGATATATTTATTGACCACCTGCTATGTGCTATGAACTGGCTATATACAGCTAAGTAGCCCTGTAAACTTGGCAAGTCTGTTTCCCTTTCTGGCTCTCTGTTTTTATATTTACAAAATGAGGGGGTTGGTCTTAGATAATCGATCCTACCCACTCTAGCTCTATTATCTATGTACCTGTGATAAAAAGATTTAACTTTGAGCAAAACCTTCTTTAGGAACTTAGAGCCCATGGTCCCACCCTTTATAGGAACTGCACATCCAACGCAGTGCAAAGAGTCCTTGAGGCCAAGGGGACAAGGCCATCTGAAGTCCACATGCCTTTCCTCCTTTTAGATCATGATTTGGGACTGGGACTACAGAAATCCCTGAGCAAACTACTTCAAGTCTTGTGGTAGTTTGGGCAGGGATTTCGGTAGTCCCAGTCCCAAATCATGATCTAAAAGGAGGCCATCTGTAGGGTTTGTGCAGGCCTTTTCCCTGTGTCCTTTGATTCAAGAGAGGCCAATAGGTGACTGTGATTTGGAGATGTAGCCAGAACACGGACACAAAGGCTGGGCTGTTCACACGCGTATGTGTTTGAAGCTTCTCGTGGTACAGAATGGTGCTGAGGATGGGAACAGAGGAGGCAAGATGTGGGTGGGGAGCTCACATTTGTACTCTTGCCCCAAGACCTGGAATTATTGGAGTAAACGTGGCTTGTGAAAAAAAAAACACACACACACACACACACAGAAAGCCAGAGGTTGGCTGATTCATGTCAGTTCTATCAATTCAAGAAGCATCTGTTGGGTACCTATTATGTGCTGGGCACTGGCTCTGCCTCTGACTACCTGTGTGTACATGGATGCCTCTCTTACTATCTGTGCGTCAGTCTCTTCTCAGTGAAATAAAGGGCTGACTAGATGCTTCTTAAGCTCCCCTGCCCCCAGCTCTGATATTTTTGAATTTAAGATGTGAGGTCTGGTTTGATGGAGGTGAAGCAACTCTGGGGATGTAAAAAGGTGCAGAAGGAGACTGAAAACACACAGCATTTGAACTGCCTGCTGGGAGAGGTGGCAGAGGCCTGGAAACTTGAGTGCCTGGGATCCAGAGTTTAGGGGCTGAGCTCAGCAAACTTATGTCTCCTCTTGCCTCAGGGATAAGCTCCTCTTACTCCTGGCTGGTGACTTGTGGCTCCCAGCTGGCCTCAGGAAGGGCTGAAGAACAGTTGCCCACGAGCTTATTTGTGCACAGGTTCACTCTGCCTCTAAACAGTCAGATGCCCTGCAGCTCTCGCCCAGCATTGGGGGCAGGGTAACCTCTCCTGGTTCAGTACCAACCAGGTTCCTCTGGCCTGCCAACCCCGACTTGGGCCATTCTGGGTACTGTTCTATGCTCATGTGATCAGGCTTTCAAGGGTCAGGGACTGGCTTGGCCTCGTCTCTATCCCACAGCCTGGGTTGAGTGGTGTTTGGCATATGGTAGGTGTTGAGTGGTGTCTGTTGGATTGAATTGAGTTCCTCATCAGAAGTCCTTCAAGGCCATCATACAACGGATCCAGAAAGGGCCAGTGATGAGGGCAGGGTCAGCTCAGTGGATGGACCGCCCGTGAAGCTCTGTAACAGAGGCCTGGAGGAGGCTCATCTCAGGGAAGGAAAGAACTGCCCTGGAGGTAACGAGGTGCATCACTGAAGTGTGCAGGCAGTGGTGGGGTGGAATGAGTGGGGCTGACCTAGATGAGCCCCAGGCTACCACCCACCACACTTCCTGAGGTTGGGACTCTAGAAAACCCAGGTTAGGCCAAGTGGCCTGTGTGCATGTAAGAGAGAGAGACAAAGCATGTGTGCGTGTGTCTGTGTGTGTGAGGAGTGGCAATGGGAATGAGTACCCACTTTTCCAGTCCCCACTGCAGGGCTAGAGGGGGATCTAGAGATGACTTGTCAAGAGACTGGGAGTGTTCTTTGTGAAGATGTAGTAACTAAACTTGGTAGTTCCTCCCAAAGCCAGTTGATCCTACCCATCCCGTCATTCTCAGTGGCATACTGAGGACCTACAGTGAGCCAGGGTCTGTGCTTGGCACAAGTAGAGGCGTCTCTTCTCCCCAGAGTAAGCAAGATGCGTGAGTTAGATGGTGTATGTCATCCTTCTTATTAGAATTGCAGGAGGTCACAGAGGAAGGACCCTTATTGAACGCCAACACACTTCATTTCACACATGAGAAATGAAGCCCAGAGAAGGGGAATGACCCTGCACAGCGCCCAGGTGCAAGACCTGAGTGCATTGGGCTCGGGGGTAGCTGAGACCGCAGGAGGCACGCTCTAGAGCACTGCTGGATGCCAGATGGCTTGGGCACTGGCTCCTGAGGATGCTGCTTGGGTCCCAGGGGTGCTCACCAGGAGGAGGCGATAGCAGGCAGGCCTTGGAGTGCTAATGAATCCACAGGGCAGTAAATACTCTGCCTCCATCTCCAAGCACGGGCACACAGGCCTTTTTCCCCCCTCAGAGCTCCTCAGGGTGGGCTGTCTCTGGGAGGCCCACCTTCTCCACCCCTCCTTCTCCTCCCGGCAGGTTCCATTGCTCCTGGTGCTGGCACACCTGGCAGTCTGCCCACGTGGTCATCCTCTTCCATATGCATCTGGACCGTGCCCGGCGGATGGGCTCGGTGCGCATGCGTGTCTTCAAGCAGCTGTGCTATGAGTGTGGCACAGCGAGGCAGGACGAGTCCAGCATGCTGGAGGAGAACATCGAGGGCCTGGTGGACAACCTCATCACCAGCCTGCGCGAGCAGTGCTACGAGGAGGACGGTGGCCAGTACCGCATCCACGTGGCCAGCCGCCCGGACAACCGGCCACATCGTACAGAGTTCTGCGAGGCCTGCCAGGAGGGCATCGTGCACTGGAAGCCCAGCGAGAAGCTGCTGGAGGAGGAGGCGACCGCCTACACATTTTCTGAAGCCTCCAAGCCGAGGGCCCAGGCGGGATCCGGTTATAACTTCTTGTCTCTTCGCTGGTGCCTCTTCTGGGCCTCTCTCTGCCTGCTCGCTGTCTACCTGCAGTTCTCCTTCCGCAGCCCTGCCTTCCTTTAGTGGAGCTGGTTAAGGGTGGGAGAGGACACATGGGCTTGAGAGTGGGGAGGACACAGTCTGATCTTGATCCTGCTGCAGATTCCACATATGACTGGACAGCCCGGTCACCTCTCTGGGCCTCAGTTTATGCATCTGTGGAATGAGGGGATTGCATTAGAAGATATGTAATGATTCTTTCATTGGATGTGGCAATAAAGGGGGGAAGGGGAAAAGGGTGTAATAAAGGTTTTAGAGCTTGCCAAGATTGGTGCTAGTACTAAGTCAACAAGGAGGGACCTGCTTCCTTTCCCTCCTCCACCTCCATCTCTACCTCTCCTTATGCTTCATTTCCATATATCATCCCCCATTATGACCCCATTAGATTCTGTCTTAACCCTGCCTCATCCTCAAACTCACATTCAGCTGCCTCTGCCCATCCTGGTTTGCTTCCTTTTGGAAAGGGCAGTGGCCCCATTCAAGGCTTAGGGACAAGGCACCTGGTCCTCTCCTGGAGAGCCTGCTCCCATCGTTCTGAAACTTAGTATTTTTACTCTGGTTCTAGGGTCAGCTTGGCTGGAATTGTCTAGAGCTGCACTGTCCAATATGTTGGCCGCTAGCCATATGTGGCTATTTCAATTTAAATTAATTAGAATGAAATAACATTAACAATTCAGTTCCTCAGTCACATCAGCCACATATCAAGTGCACAGTACCCATATGTGGCCAGTGGCTAACATATTGCAATGTACAGATATAGAACGTCATTACAGAAATTTCTGTTGGTGAACTCCGGTCCAGAACTTGAAATTCCCACTTAAATGTATGTGGACTTCTACCACTAAGAGGTGGGCACAGGTTTAAAGGTGCAACATGAAGCCTTCTGGGGGCAGGTAAAGGTGGGGTGGGGTGTGGTAAAGGTAGATAAATACTGTAAATAGATGACCTCTGTGCTTGTGGCTCTCTGTTGAGCAGCATCTGCAGGTCCTTGTGTTGTCTTACCTTATTTCCTGGGAGGATATGGAAAGTGGGTCTGGGCTGGGCATGGTGGCTCACGCCTGTATGTAATCCCAGCACTTTGAGAGGCCAAGGTGGGCAGATCACGAGGTCAGGAGTTTG